AATGGTACTTGAGTCGATAGACTTACTATCTTAAAATAAATTGTTTAAATCCCTATAATTAATTCCAATTAGTTACTAATGTTAAATGTTAATAAGAATTTCCGCGTTAAGATAAAAATGAATGAATTTTAGATAAATATGATACTAATATACTAAACATACTTAAGGCGTGAAAATTTCGATAAATATATCCTTATCTCTCTTTGTTTTCACAATAAGTGCGTAAAAATAATTTTTATGTGCAAATTGACACCCTTGGATTAAATTATTATTCCACTTGACTTTATATTATTAAATCGATAAATTTCGAATTAGACTAACTCTATTCCTTGAGAATTAATAATTGGAAATTCTAATAACTAATTTAATCGCTAAATAATATAAGAATTACTAGGAACCTTAATATTAATGTTTAATCGATAAATATTCGATAATAATGGTTTAGGTATATTAGGGTATGATTAGGCGTTCAAATCATACTTGGGAATAATTTTTAGAATTAATTTAGAATTGAGAAATTAAGTTGAGGTTAGGGAGCAAAGTGAAAAGACTAAAATGCCCTTACAATTTCATGCAAACCAAACGAAACCTCTGACCGCAAGTTAAATCACTGCAACTATCACCAATTCTATACGCAATCGATTCTTACACGAAACCTCTGCTCCTTAAACCACGGCACCACAATACCATTCTCTTTATTTCACCTCTAAAACCACAATTCCAATTCCTTCTCTGCACAAACAAACCGCAAACCATTTCCTTCCTTCTTAATACCGAGATACCGCCTCTTCATCATCTCATTTCCTTTGCACAATTTCACCGCAGCTGCTACTCTTCCTCTCCACAACCACACCTCACCTCTTCTTCTACCTTAGACCGAGAGCATCCGAGAGAGAGGGTTACCTGGTGAGCTGCATCCGAGAGCAAGGGAGGAGGGATCGCAAGCTGCCAGTTCTTCCTTTCTGTTCTGACCGTAAGCTGAGGGAAAATACCAGGAACCATCGCACCTTTTCTCTACTAGCTGTGGCCAATTCCAACTCCACTCAACCGAGCTCAACCTCACCACAACACCACTCCAGCCGCAACTCAGGAACCAGGACAACCGACTGCACTTGAAGCCGAGAGCAAGGAAGGAAAATTCTGAAATTTTCGTGTGCGAGATTAGCTGTTATCTGAGGTAATTTCCGGACCAATTAGGTTGATTACTAGTAGAGTAAGCTATATCTGAGCTTGCATGTAAGGATTGTGCAGTCGGATGTTGAAATCAAACCATTAGAAAAATTTCTGTTCGGTTAAAATGTTGCTGCTGAGAAACTGAAGTGATATTGCAACTCCATTTTTGTTATCCGTGGCAATCTGAACACCTAAGTGTCATTAGCTGAGTGAAAATTTGAAGATTAAGACCATGCATGTTGATTTGTGCATTCGGATGATGTGCTTAAAGCAGAGAAAAATTTCTGTTGTGGTTAAAAATTTCTGCCGAGGAGCTGGCTTGGGATTGTAGTTTTATTTCTGACTTCTTGCGATAATCTGAGCTCAATTAAGTGTTTAACCAACTAATAACAATAAGGTTAAGTCATCTAAGAACTTGCATGTTAATGATAGGCAGCCGGATGAGAGTTTTAAGAAAAGATTTCTGTTGAGTGCAAATTTTGGAGCTGCCGAGAGCTTAGCTTGATTTTTGCAGCCTGATTTGGTTCAATTTTTGTTGTTTGAGCTTATAACCATAATTAGATAGTTAATCACAAGTTAATTAGGCTCTGCATGTAGATAATTAGTTAGTTTAAAACCAGAAAAATAAAATCAAAGTGCAATCTGCCATGCATGTTCATCCGAGTCAAGCAGGAAAATTTTAGAAAATTTTGATATTCATGGTTGTTGTTTGAACTCGATTTCTGAACTGGAAATGTTTATTTTCTATCTAAGTAATTGCATGAGGGAGTTGAGAGTTTAAAAGCATGTTTTAACCCAGAAAATAAAATGAAAACAGAACATCTCTTCATGCATGTTCATCCGTGGCTGATGGACAAAATTTCTGGATTTTTCTGGATGATTTTAGTTGCTGAATGAATCTAGTTTTGAAGTGGAAATTTTTACTAGCTAGCTAAGTGTTAAATGCTGAATTTGAGTACCTAACACCATGTTTAAACCAAAGGAAAATTTGATCTAAAATATATTAGTTGCTGGAATTTCTTATGTGATAGTCAAAGGTTGAGTTGGAATCTTAGCTTGGTTTGTAATTTTTCCTTGAATCATGATGGATGGAAATGCTTGGAATATGTTGTTTTGGAGTTCTATAAGAAATGTATGGATGGTTTGAATAAAAACATTTTGGTGTTAAAAGAGAAAAAGGAGTTTTCACAAGTGAAAAATTGAAATTTCAGATTTTCGGATGTCCCTGACCAGTCTCAATAAAATGCTTATATCTTGGTGTAGGAAAACCCGTTTAAGGCGCCGTCAGTGGCATTTGAAACTAGAATCATAGGCCTTTGTTCTGTAGAAATTTCGTATTTTTCCTCCATGGGTACTGCTGTCTGTGAATCCTCAAAGTAGACTGTTTTGTATGAATGTCCTGTTTTTTCGTGAAACTGAATTTGGATTTGGATTGAAATTTTAGCTTACTTGTGGTTTAAATTCTTGATTGAATTGTGGTTGGAAGTAATTGGTGTTGTCAAGGGCTAATGATTGATGAAACCCTTGGCCATTTGAATGATTTTATAAGTATTACTGGGTGATGAAATTTAATTGCTAGAGATTTCTTGGAGGCCTTGCTTTTATTTTTATTTGTTTAAGCTGAGCTTGCTGAAACCAAGTGCTAATGATTGATGAAGCCTTGTCATTCATTTTATTTTTATCAGAAATGCAATTGTTGAAATCTAGGCTAATGATTGACGAAACCCTAGTAATTTGCTATGTGATTTTGCCATATTTGATCCATAATATGATTTCAAAACGGAATCGGAGCTGTGGAAGTCGTTTCTACCTTGCGAACTCGAGTAACTGTGATCAAATTAATCAAAAATATTTTCCAGCTAGTATTAGATTATAAAACTTAGTATCTAGTGTTTTGCCTAAATTTTTCCAACCCGATATTTCCTTTAGCTCAAACTAGCCTTGGTAGCTATAGTAAAGAAATTCTCTAGCTTCTGAAAACCCTAAATCTTATTTTAATTCCTTTTCTTTCATTAAGTTTTTGCACTTGGATAGTTGTCGGTAGGAAAAGTTCCGAAATAAGAATTTTAATAATTTTAGTTAAAAGCATAGAAACTTGCTCGGCAAGAAACCTTATTTTAGGTAAAATAGTTTTAGTGATAATTTTTGCAAGAACCATAGCTTTAAAGAAATTTTCAAATATATCTTTCTAACTTTGATATTAAGAGGTTTGTCGATTTATTTCAAGAAAATAATTCTAGTTACCCTTTTATAAGGAAAAGTATCTCAAGGAAAACTATAAGAAACATTTTTACTACTTTTGTCAAGTTTCATCCTAAGTGGATTCTTAATTTTTCTAAGGGAAGTAAACTAGTAGTATATTAGGTATATTCGATGTCTATAAGCTTAAAAACTGAGTAGAAACTTATAGTTTCAAAATTTGGTTTTTAGGATATTGCGAGACGCGGAATTCGATTCCCAACTTGATATCTGAACTCCATTCTTGGTGAGTGTCCCTGCTTGTTCTTTTCCTACCTGAATTAAGTGCTTTCTAGACTCGATAAGTGATAATTTGCAAAACTAGTTTTTGATCCATCGAAGTGAGCGATGTGTACTTTATCACACTAGCCGTTCGAGTGACTTGCGTGAATCATTTTTCTCCTGAATCCTTGAATCTAAATGTAGTTGCGTCGTTGGTGAATCCTTCGACTTCTGAATCCAACTACCATGAATCTAAACGTAGTTACGTCGTTGGGTGAATCCCTCGACGCATGAATCTAACTACAATAACGTCGTTGGTGAATCCCTTGACCAATCATCTACGGGTATATCTCGAGTTATACTGCGTCCTTAGTCGGAGCGGGCCCGGGACAGGGGTATGAATGGTGACGGTTAGGTATCAAAATGAGACGCTCTACATGGAATATAAGTAGTGAGAGTTGACGGAGGGTCAACTACGATAAATGGTGATCAAGCGACGAAAAGGCTCCTGAAAACCCTGTATCCTACCTTGTGCTATTATACGCTTTCCTAACTGTTTAATTTTGCTAAGTTATTAACCGCTGTTTGATATTATGTGATTGCATATTTTGGGGCACCACTGAACTTTAGCTCACCCCACGTTTATTGTTTTCCTTAACAGGTTCTGGAAATGAAAGCTTGGATACTTACTTATGTTTTCCTTTTGGAGTGTATTCGAATACTATGACTTGTTGGTGGGCTGTAAGGCGTTAATTGGGATAATGTACTTTCCTTATGGATTGCCACTTGAAGCTGAAAAATGTGTAAACCCTAATTTGATTGCTTGGCTTGTAAGTTTGTATTAATGATGTATGTAATTATCTATCCGGATTGGTACGACTTTATACCTTGGTACGTAGCACGTGGAATGTTAAGAGCCTCAATTGGCTATTTTTATCACTGCTATCTCTGAAGTTAATGTGATTTTACGAATGATATCATTCGGGAAAATTTGTTTTGTAATAGATTAGGTATTATTCGAAAGGATTTGGGTTAGTATGCTTGCGTGAGTCCTGGCGAGAGCTGGGCAGACGGCCCGCCAACCCTTTGGTTCGCCTTAGGGAGAAGTGGGGTCGCCACAGTTATCATGGGGACTGACACCTTTATTACCAGCAATGTTGTTTGTCCTGATGTATATTGGAAGATTAACCAACATAATTTTAGATTCAAACTCAAGGTAATGGAACTTGGGGGTTGAGATACAATTCTGGAAATGAATTGGATGACACATTTTCAACCCCATTACATTTGATTTCCAACAACTCAAGATATCATTATACCATGAAGGATATGAGATTCATCTACACGGGCAAGCAGACAATTGTAATATGGACCTAATCAGAGGCAAGGATTTAAAGACATTCATCAAGTACAAAAGACAGATATGTATGACAATGAACTCACAATATGGTGAAGAAGAGAGGCTAGAGCCTACACCACATGAAATGGAAAAATTATTGCAGGAGTATGAAGATAAATTCCAGGCTCCAAACTCATTACCTCCAAACAAAAGTGTAGACCATGAGATGCCCCTTAAACCAGATGCTCAACCTTTCAAATTGAAACCTTGCAGGTACCCTTATTGCCACAAGAAAGAAATAGAGAATCAGGTTGCTAAGATGCTACAGAAAGGCATAGTTAAATACAGCAACAGTCACTTTCCTTCTCCTGTATTGCTGGTCAAGAAGAAAGAAAGAACCTGAAAATTTTGTTTGAACTACAGAAAACTAAATATGATCACTGTCAAAGACAAGTTTCTAATACTTAATGTGAATGAGCTGTTGGATGAACTAGCAGTTTCTGTGTTCAAAACCATATTGGATCTGACTGCAGGGTATCACCAAATTAGAGTTAAACCATAGGACACCTTCAAGATAGCCTTTCAAACTCATTGTGGTCATTTTGAGTTCCTAGTCATGCCCTTTGGGCTTACAAGTGCTCCTACTACATTCCAATCATTGATGAATCAGGTGTTTTAGCCTTACTTGAGAAGGTTTGTCCGAATTTTTTTTTATATACTAGTATACCATTCCACATTAAAAGATTATGTTCAGCATCTGATGACTGTATTGGGTATTTTGAGGGACAATCAGTTGTATGTGAAGAAGTCTAAGTGTGCATTTGCTCAAATGAAGGTAGATTACCTAGGATACACTATCACTGATAAAGGAATTAGCATGGATGACTCTAAGATCAATAATATTTTACAATGACTAGTTCCACAGTCTGTTAAAGAGTTGAGGGGATTTCTGAAACTTACAGGTTATTACAAAAGGTTTATAAAACATTATGGACTTGTGTATAAATCCCTTACTGAGCTACTTAAGAATGATAACTTTAAGTGGAACATACATGCACAAGCTTCTTTTAACCATCTCAAGAAACTAATGTGTTTAGCCCCAGTTCTCAAGTTACCAGAATTTAAGAAGGCCTTTGTTGTGAAAACAAATGTTAGTGGGAGAGGCATTGGTGCAGTCTTAATGCAAGAGGGGCAACCTATTACCTTTCTGAGCAAGGCACTGTCAATGAAGAATTTGGGTCTATCAGTTTATGAGAAAGAACTTCTAACTCTGGTAATGACAGTCACAAAATGCAGACACTATCTGGTTGGCAATCATTTTATCATCAGAACTGACCATCATTCATTGAAGCATCTACTGGATCAAAAACTGAACACTGCTCTTCAGCATAAATGGATAACTAAATTGATGGGATTGGACTATGAAATACAGTATAAGAAGGGAACTGAGAATCAGGTTGTAGATGCTTTATCAAGGAGACATGAAACTGCCTCCAAACCTTCACTTAATTCTTGTTTAGCCATTACTACGGTTAGGCCTAGATGGATTGAAGAATTGCAAATGAGTTATGTGACTGATGCACATTGTAAAGACATAATGACTCAATTGTTGTTGGATCCTAGCTCTCACACTGACTATGTCTTGGTAGATGGAGTACTGAGACACCAAGGTAAAGTTTATGTAGGAACTGCTAATAATGCTAGAAATCATATCATTCAAGTACTCCATGCTTCAGCAATAGGTGGTCATTCTGGACAAAAGAACTGTTGACAGAAGATTAAAGCCTTGTTCTATTGGCCAGGGATGAAACAGGAGATAATAGCCTTTATTTAGAACTGTGATATATGTCAGAGGAACAAGTCTGAAAATGTTCCTTATCCTGGATTGTTGCAGCCAATTTCAATTTCTAAACAAGTTTGGTACCATATTTCTATGAACTTCATTTAGAAACTGGCCAAATTACAAGGGTATCATACTATATTGGTAGTGATTGACAGATTCACCAAGTTTGACTACTTCATTATGCTTACTTATCCATTCATAGCAAAAGTGGTGGCTTAAGTCTTCTTGGACAATATATGCAAGATACATGGATTACCAGAGTCCATTATTACTGATAGGGATAAGGTTTTCATCAGTGGATTCTGGAGAGAACTCTTCAAGGTAATTGGAACTGAACTGAATTATTCATCCTCTTACCATCCTCAATCTGACGGTCAGAGTTAAAGGCTCAATCAGTGTGTGGAAAACTACCTAAGGTGCATGACAAAAGAATTGCCTTCACAGTGGAGCAAGTGGATGGCCTTGGCTAAATAGTGTTACAATTCTTCCTATCATTCTAGTATTAACATGGCTTCCTTTGAAGTTTTGTTTGGATATAAACCAGTGCTTCTACCATTTGGGCTGTACTTGGATTCAGTAGTACCTACAGCTTCCAACATGATCCAAGAGGGGAACAGGATCTCAATTTGCATCAGGGAAAACTTAGTTAAGGCTCAACAGAGAATGAAGTACTTTGCTGATTAGCATAGGACTGAAAATGAATTCTCTGTAGGTGATTGGGTTTTTCTGAAGTTTCAACCCTATAGACAGCAGACTGTGGCAATTAGAAGATGTCTCAAGCTATCCCCCATATATTATGGTCCCATCCAGGTAGAGGAGAAAGTTGGATCAGTAGCATATAAGTTGAGGTTACTAGCAGGTACAAAAGTACACCCTGTGTTCCATGTGTCATTACTTAAGAAGAAGTTGGGGCCAATTCAAAACAGTTCACCTAAGCTACTAGAGTTAGACACACAGGATCAGTGTCCATTGCAGCCAGAAACAATCCTGAAGAGAAGAATTATTCTGCGAGATGAGAAGCCTGTCATTTAGTTCTTGATTAAGTGGAACCATTTGGACTATGAAGAAGCATCTTGGGAGGACAAATCCTTATTGAGCGACAATTTCCTACATTCCAGACTTGAGGCAAGTCTGTTCTTAAGGGAGGGAATTGTCAGGAAAGGAAATTATTGTAATAGAGGCTGTAGTGATTAGATTTCAATATAGGAGCAAAACTATGTAGTTTTGAGCATTAACTGTAATTAGGAGGTTAAGTCGATTAATAACCACCTGGCAAGGTTGTTAGAGTTTGTTATAAATAGTGGGATCCATAAGTGGGAATAACTGACTTTTGGCAACAACAATTTCATACTTTCTCTCTCTAAATTTTCTCTAATTCTTTTTCTCTGATTTCCCTCCCTCCACTACGTTTTCCTCTTACTTCCTTCATCATCCGATCCGAGTTAATCAAAAAGGTTACTAAATAATGAATAGTCAAAAAGGTTTCTAAATTATTAAATATGATACGGGTTAGTCACCTAACTTTTTTTGTGATCACAAATAGGGGTGTCAATGGGCGGGGGTGGAGCGGGGGACACCTCCCCCAACCCTCGCCCCGTTGCATTTTAATTCCCCCCGCCCTCGGCTTCCCCCGTCCCGCCCAACTTCCCCCGCGGAGGCACCCGTGGTGTTAAAAAATTTTATTATATAATTTTATTATAATTAAATTTGAGCAAATAATCAAGTACTAAAATATCAACATATCACTAAATTATTATTCATTGTAACTTCACAATTGAAACTCATAAAAAAATTAAACAAATGTTATTTGAATACAATCTAATATGATAAAACAAATATAACTAAAATAATCAAGTTTTCACTTTTGATACAAATACAATCACTAAATTAATATTATATTTTTTTAGAAAAAAGTGTTATTATATTAAGTGTAGTTAGGAATTTAACATAAATGTATTAATAAATTTAGTATAAATAATTAATAATTTTTATTAATAGACATGTATAATTAGTAGTATAATTGATAATATCATTATATATATAATTATGTACATATATATTTTTTTTCAAACGGGTGGGGAAAAAATTCCCCCGGCCCTCGCCCTACCTCCCGCCCCAATGACCCCCCGCGGGTGCCCGTCCCCGTTGCCATCCTTAATCACAAAGGTCACTAAATTGACAAAAACAAATTAGCAAAATCATTTTATCAAATTCTACTAGTAAATTAACCGATTGCCAAAGATTATTTTGTCAAAAAGATGGTTAAATTCAATGATTTACCGATTGTTTTACCAGTAGAATTTAACAAAATGATCACGATGATTTACAGAGGGCGATGATTCGACCCTTTTAATGAATACTCCTCAACGGGTAGGGCCGGGTTGGGATACAATTACAAGACCAACTACCCAACTGCGTCTTCTTGTACTATTAGATGATCATACCTTCTCACTCGAGTCACTCAAAGCAGAGGTGCTCGAAGAGTATTACGTTTATATGACCCAGCGGGTCTAAGCCGCGGAAAGAATGGTTGCGGAGTTGGGTCGTTCGGAAAACCTACAACAGGGATCGCGATTGGTGGCGACGTGGATCATCGGAGGGTGGTGTTTGGTTATCCGCGCTGGCCCTTTCGCTTGCTTTGCCTCAGGGAGTCTGGAAGAGGAAGAAGAGGCCCGTAAGGGTATATATGGATGGCTGCTTCGACATGATGCACTACGGCCACTGCAACGCCCTGCGCCAGGCTCGAGCCCTTGGCGACCAATTGGTTGTCGGAGTCGTCAGCGATGCTGAAATCACAGCTAACAAAGGCCCTCCGGTCACTCCTCTCAATGAGAGGTTTAGTTTGCCATGTCCTTTCCCTCTTACCTTATTCTCAGAGTTTGATGCCTCTGCCCCATTTTTGTGTGTTGTTGTATGCGCTTTTTCAAGCATTTTCTTTTCCGTGGTCGTTGTCCTGTCCAACAATGTATAGTCGTTCCCGTTGGAACCTATTATATCATTTTGTTCTTGTATAACACGTCACTATTCCTTTTTTCTTTTTTGCGTTGTGGTAGTATCAGCAAGTTCCCGTCGTGATCTTGCTTTAATCAGTATTATTTATTTACATTCATACGAATACATTCAACTGCATGAAATTTACCTCTGACACTTGTTAATTAATTAATTTTTTTGGGGAAGTGAATAAAGACCGTGAAAATTTGGGAAGATGGGAATGGGAAGGTTTTATAGGAATGGTGTAATGTTTGGATAATTTGTGAATGGGGTATGCGTTAATGTTCACCAAAAAGAAGGTCAATGACTTTTGTTGATGAATGACTGAGTAACCCTCGTAGTAATGTGCATATCATTATATAGAAATGTGCACCTTAATGATAGAAATGTACACTTTAGTCAATATAGGTATTAATTTGAATGTGCATATATCAATTGATACATGCACTTGTGCAAACCCTAACGTGCAGATATTGGTATGTATGCGTGTGCTAGTGTGATGAATACGCACTTTGGTAAAATATATGAGTATATCCGGATGTGCACACTTGAAATATACGGGCACTTAT